CTTTTACTTTTGAGAAAGAAAAAATGACCCCGAAAACTATAACTTGCATAAATCGAAGGAGTAATTTTTCCCACATGATTTCTTCCATTGCTCATGACTGGAGCTCATGGATAAGAGAAAACCACATAGTAGACTAAAAATGTAGTAGGCATGGGATTTCTTTAACAAAAAAAGACTGTGAGTGTGTTCCTAGTGTTTGAAGTGGTGACTGTGATTAAGAATATGAAGACATGTTCACTTTGAACCACTCACAAGTGAAACACTAGTTTTCTCCAGTGGAATCTCATGGGATATACAAATCAATCTCAAGGTCAGAACTATGCCCAGAAGTAGATGGTGGTTTTGTTGGTTCTTTGTCACACAATGCTGTTTGGTTATTTTTTGCAAGTCCTTTGTGTGAAGAAATATGTTAAAAGCTCCTAAATGTAAGATTTTCTCTTTAAAACACAAGACTCAGATAAAGAAAACTGAATGGATATCGAAAAATAGTCTCATCAAAGGAATCTTAAGGAGCATCAAGACACAATTAATAAGTAAGTCTTTAAACAATCCATTTCACTCTAAAGCACTGGTAGAGTGGATTTAGATCATGAGCACAATGAATGAGTAAACTCAAACCAGCCCACAAACCGAACACACAAGCATTGCATTTTCCTTCCTGCTACCTGAAATTTAATACTGGAATAGTGAAATTAATTAGAAATCATATCAAAGTATGCAGCATGATTTGGAAAAATGTTTTAAAAAGGAGTTCATGGCAGCAGGAGGGACCGGCAATGGGGATTCTAGCCACAGCTGGCTCACCCAAAACTCCATTACAAACACAGTTCCCATGTAAACCAAAGGAAACGAAACTGGAGGCTGAGCATATTAGATTTCTCTTAGGTCCTGGATGTAATTTCCATCAGGCCCACCCTGAATTCTTTCAGTCCCTGGGCCTATGGGATAGGCAGTTTATTTCAAGACCTTTGTTGTCTGGAGTTACAAGAGGTTGTTTCAGCAAGAAATGATTTCTGAATCATTTATTATGTGCCTACTATCATGGGTTCTACAGTGATACTCATTGTGGGGTCAAATATCATCAGAGCAAAAAGTGATTGAAGCCAATGAGGAAGAACTACTTAAGGCTTACAATATACATTAGAGGAGCGCATGATGCCACCAGAAGCTAGTAAAATCTAGTATAATATCCTTCTCCTAGCTAATCAAAAAGGTTCACACATTGGCAGGCATATTATCTCATAGCTATAATTCTATCACTTAGGAGACAGAGGAAGGATGTTAAGAAGTTCAAAGCAAACTTTGGCTATAGAGCAGGCTCAGTAATCGAGGCTTATATTGCCAGATCTCATATTAAAATAAAAAAACAAAACAAATAAAAACCTTCAAATGATTTTCATACATTCTTATTAGTCTTAACACTGATAATGTGCTGAATGATATAACATATGTAAATCTTTATTGGTCATTGTTGCCACTTGTATATTCAGTGTCTTTCCAAAATCTTAATGTGTTGATGGCTAAATCCACAACAGGGGGGTGCTTGGGTTCCTGAGCACTTATCTAACCACTGAACTTTTCTCTTGATTAATTTGTAGTATGAAAAAAATAGAGCAGTTCTACTCTGCCACAGCCTTCTTGTCGGATGTCCTAGCATTTTCTAGGTTCAGAAACAGTGGGGCCAACGAACTAACTATGGGTGTAAACTTCTGAAGATGTGAGCTGCAGAGAATCGCTCCTCCAACATGTTGTCTTCCTCTGATATTTGTCATAGCGGTGGGAAAATAAGTTAACATAGGAAAGGTGCAGATCCTGGTGGGAATTGTGTTGGAGTCAGAGCAAGCCAGGAAGCAGGTCTGGTGCAGGGAGGATACAGTGGTTCAGGCAGATCTTGGTTTTGAATCAGCAATTGTGTGTCCTCACCTCCTTCCTTTGAACGAAAAATGCCATGGCTAATCTTTGTTGTTACCATGGCTACATCTGGAATCAACCAAAACCTATGTAGCTGGGCACACCTGTGAGGGAGTTTTCATAATTGGATCATTGGAGGAGAAAGGACCCACCATAATTTTGGGCATTCCAAATATAAGGTCATGGAGGAAGGTAACTTTTCTTGTTTGCTATCACTATCTTTGCCATGTTCATCTTTTCTGGTGCTAAAGCATTAGACCCTCCTTCTTCAAAATTCTGTGCATACTGAAGACAGGTGAGACACCCAGTCTCACAAAATGAAGACCTATTGAGTTATTGGTGTTCCCATCAGGAGACTTGCCCTTGATGGACTAGCCAGACCATAACCCATGGGCCACACTCCTTTCACTTATATAGATCCATTATATCAGTTCAATTCCTGAAGAGAACCTAGTTCTCTAGAATAAAAATAAAAAGAATGTGGTTGTTAACCTTTGCTTCCTTTTCCTTTTTGTGGTTGCCTGGAAATGTCCTACTCCAATGGGAACAATTTATAGCTCCCATATCTTCAACATAGGAAGCATGTCAAAGCATTGGAGCAGTGGCTGATAATGGAGAACACTCTAGTGAGAACAACAGTGACATCATGCTTATTCCTCAGGTCTTCTGACCTGCTCTTGAGTAAGCTGGCGTTCTGCAGTAGTTCTGCAACAGTTCCCACAGTGATGTTTTAAAGACGAGTACACCTTGTTTTGCATTTTAAACTGAGTCTATTTCCTGTCTGTATTTTTCCTTTGAAAATTATGAAGGGTAGGGTTAAAAGAAATAAATGAAAACAGAAGACTTTCTCCTGAAACAATGCTTATTGACAAAAATCACAATCAGAAGACAGGTGGTTTATTTTTAAGCCCAAATTTGAGAATTCTAATTCTCAACCAGAAATAAAATATATAGAGCATGTTTATAGAAACATAAAAGACACAGATGTTCAAAGTGGATACAGTAGAGAAATTATGATAACATCTAAAATCCACTGAATGGTTGCTACATATTAACCAGCTTGACAATTTCCTTTTTTTACTAAAGACATATTTTATCTTCATTTGTTTTTTTTTTCGTGGAAAACGATGAATTAGGCAAAAACTTTATTTCCAAGTTCTTCAAAGATTATTATGAACACAGACTTTCCTTCTAAAGTGTCCCCAATTTAACCAAAGGCACATCACCCAAATAAGGTACTTGTGACATTAGTTCTTACAGGTTATAATATTTTCACATTTCGTTTTTAACCAGTTGCAGTGTTCTGAATGTAGTAGGCTGTTGAAATAAGAGCGGCGGGCTGCGTCCCCGCCACCCAGCCGCCCACACGGCTAGCTTTATCCGAAATAATTACATGGAAACTGTATTCCTTTAAACACTGCTTGGCCCATTTCTATCTAGCCTCTTCTAGGCTAACTCTCGCACCTGGACTAGCCCATTTCTCATAATCTGTGTAACCCACGAGCTGGCTTACCAGGAATGATCTTAACCTGTGTGTGCCTAGAGTGGGAGAACCATGGTGACTCTCTGACTCAGCTTCTTTCTCTCAGCCTTCTGTTCTGTTTACACCACCCACCTATGTTTTAACCTATGAGGGCCAAGCAGTTTCTTTATTGCTTAACCAATGAAATTAACAGATTGATATATGACACTCCCCCATCAGTAGGCCACATTTAAATGTTTTTAAAGGTACAAGCACATTTTTAAGACCTACAAAAACAATTGTAAGTTGTAAACTAAAGGAAGTAAGGAAAGACCTAACCAGCCTCACCCAGGATGGGCAACCTGACGCTTTATCAGTTCTTTAGTTGGCTAAGAGCATCTCCCAATTTTACTGTCAAAGTAAGACCATATTTCATTGAAAAATGAAAATGTTTTCCTTTTTTTAAAGAAAATCAAGATATCAATTATTCTCCCAATTTTATACTTTGTCTTCATTTAGTAATAGTAAATTCTTATGAACAAATTTTATTAGAGTATAAAAATATTAGGAAAATTACAAATCTCAGTTTTTGAAAACAAAACGTCTCCCTTCTAAAATGCAAACACCCAGGAAGTAGAACATCTCCATATCCCCGGCCGAGCAACACAGGTTCTATGGGGTGAGAGATGCAGCTCAGTACATTTGGAGATGAGGGTTACAAAAATGGATTTCTGTAGAGTTTGGCTCTAGGACCAGGCAACAGAGAATGGGATTTGGCTGTGGAAACTGTCTTCTTGCGACGTGGGTGGTCATTCTTCCCCGTGTGCTTCCCAGAACTCCTTCCCAGTCTTCAGAGTAAAGCACAGGACCTGAGCTCCCGGTTGGCACGCCAGGCAGCAGGGCATCCTTGCAGGCATTCTGCATGCAGTACTGCTGGAGCTCCACGGCTGCCTGCGAGACCTTGATTTTTTTTTTTTTTTTTTTTGGTTTTTCGAGACAGGGTTTCTCTGTGGTTTTGGAGCCTGTCCTGGAACTAGCTCTGTAGACCAGGCTGGTCTCGAACTCACAAAGATCCGCCTGCCTCTGCCTCCCAAGTGCTGGGATTAAAGGCGTGCGCCACCAACGCCCGGCTTTTTTTTACTTTTATGTGTGGCCCTGGAACCCTGAAGTGTCAGCTATGTTGTGTGGCTGAATCATTACAATACTTGCCTAACTTCTGGGTCTAATATTTATTTATAGATGAAGTAAATCTTTGTAAAAAAACTCAGTGAAGGGGGAGGGGCGGGGCCGGCGGAGGGACCCACTGCTCCTCCCCCTAGGGTCCCTTGCGACCCCCGGTCTGTGGCAGCGGAGGAGGAGCTCGCACCCCGACCCTGGCAGGCCCCATCATAGAAGCCCTCACAGGTCCCTGGAAGGTGGCATCAGCATCTCCGCGGAGGACCCAGAAGAGTCGGACTAGGGCCAGGGCCCCGGGCCTTCCCACCCTCCCTATGGAGAAGCCAGCTGCCTCAACGGAACCCCAATGGCCTCGGCCTGCCTTGGGCAGTAAAAGTGTCCAGGTGCCCGATGACCAGGACTTCCGCAGCTTCAGGTCAGAGTGTGAGGCCGAAGTGGGCTGGAACCTGACCTACAGCAAGGCCGGCGTGTCTGTGTGGGTGCAGGCTGTGGAGATGGATAGGACCCTGCACAAGATCAAGTGAGGTTGGAGTGATTTATTCACCACCCACTTGGGTAAGGAGCCTTTGGGATCCACGTGGGCCAGATAGGTAATAACACAGCTCTTGGGCCCCGTGCTCTGGATGAGGTAGCCTGTCTGGATGGAAACGGCTCGGACCAAGTCTTTCCTAGGTGGGTATTTAGGATGCTTCACTGAGTAGTTCATAATGATGTAATCAGTGCCCATGGAGAGCCAGGAACGGAGGGTGATGACATCACGGTTCTTCAGAGGTTTGGGACACCTCCAAGAGTAATATTGGACGTCGGCGTTGACAGTCAGGCGGGCGATGTTGAAAGTCTCAATGACATTGCTGTCCCACTTCTTCCGGTATTCTATGTCGTGCAGGACGTCGTAAAGCGTCTCAGCTGGCACGTCGAGACCTTGATTCTTTCCATGCAGGCCTCCAGCTTGAGCTGCTCCACCAGGCGCTGCAGGGCGCTCACGCTAGCCCCGGCGGACATGGCGGCGAAGGCTCTATCTTCATTTGTTGTACAGACGATTACTTGTTACATTGGGCCATTAGGAAAAAAAATCTCTGAATATTGCAGAGATATAACAGTAAAGAATGTGGAGGTCAATATTCACACAGGGACACTCTCAGCTCTTTTAACCAAATGGAAAAATAAACAATTTAGTCACCAAGAGATAAAGTAACTGTTCTGGTGTGGATGTCAACTGTCCCCAAAGATGCATATAAAATATTTACTTCCAGCGAGCTGCCACTCTTTTGGAAAGTTTGGAGCTTTTAAGAGTTGAACCTTAGCTTAAGTAAGTAGGTCACTGCAAAGTGGACCTTGAAGACTATGAATAACCCAGCCCTGCCTCTGTTCCCAGCTTCTCTGCTTCTTGGTCTGTCTAGATTTGTACAAGACACTGCTCATGCCTCTTGCCACCACATACTCGTCACCATGATAAACTTTTCCTTAACCTGTGAGTTGAGAACGCATTTTTTCCTCCCTTAAGCTGTTGCTGGTTAGGTGTGTAGTATCAGCAATACTAAATGCAAGCAAAGCAATAGTAAACAGGACCAGTTCAGTCCTTAGTCCAACTATCCCTAACAGTTCTTAGGGGAATGAGCAACACCATTCTTGAATTATTGACCAGATAGGATAAGAGATGAAAAATTAACAGTTTCTTTGTGTATTGCAGCCACCATTATTTTCCATTAAGGAGAAATTTCTTAGTTGGAAAATGTTTGGTTACTCCCACACAGGAATCCTCGGTCAACTGTTGCCATGATGGGAAAGCTGATGAGTTTGATTGTTAAATCCATTCTTTTTTTTTTTTCAAGATGAGATGTGGAATCAGTGTTTTTCTTCCATTTCAAATTACTTCTGATATAACAATTCTCCTCCACCACCTTTTAGTTTTCCGATTCTATTCTTGTTAGCATGCCTTTCAGCCAGGAAAAACAGCCCTAGGAAAACCACATTGTACAGGTTATGGAAAGGGCAAAGACGAAAGGCTCAAAGTGAACTTGTTCCCTGTGGAAGTGCAGCTTTTGTGTCTCTTGGGTTACTACATTGCACACTAAATCTTTGAAATGTTTTTGTACTTAATTGTACTTCCCACCACTTTTGCTGGAGTTGACATTACACAAAGCTTTTGTTACAAATTATTGTCAGTTAGGACATGGAAGTAAGTTTAAGGGCCAGCTTCCATCTGTCCTTTCCTGTTGTTTCTTTATTCTTCCCTTTCTTCCTTTCTTCTTTCCCTTTCCCTCCCTCCCTCCCTCCCTTCCTTCCTTCCTTCCTTCTTTCCCTCCCTCCTTCCTTTCCTTCCTCCTTTCTTCCCTTCCTCCTTCCTTTCCTTCCCTCCCTCCCTCCTTCCTTCCCTCCCCGTTTTTCCTTCCCTCCCTTCTTCCTTCCATCCCTTCATCTTTCCTTCCCTCCCTCAGTCTTTCCTTTCCTCCTTCCTGTATCTATTTCTCCCTCCCAGTTCCTTCTTTCTCCTATTGGCTAGTAAATAGGTCAGTTTTTTTCTTACTAATTTCTTTTATAATGGGATAGTAAATATCCTTTTCTTTGCAAAAGAAAAGATTCTTGAAATATTTATAGTAATTTCCCACTTACATTACATAAAATCGGTTCATTTTGATACTTGGGCTTCATTTCATTTGCTTTCTCAAATAATGAAAGAAAAATTCAGAAGGACTCAAATATGTGTACTCAAATTTTATCTGACTTGGACTGAAATAAGTTTTTAAAAACACAAGACCCTTTAAAAGGAGAGTTGTAGCGTAATCATTTGTTATTAGTCATCCTGATACTTATTAAATTGAAACTCAATTCCCAAGTTACTCGTAAGTATTTGAAAGCCCAGACTGTAGATAGGAACATATTTCAGTGATTTGTTTAGTCTGGTAATTATCACCAACCTTTCACATGGGCTGAAGCAACTCTCTCTGTGTGACTGGGGCTCTCATCTGTTACACTGTTGTGAAGCAGATGTGTTCTCAAAGGAACTAGGACAAGTTACCCTAGGGCTTTGGATTTGGATGTCTGCTCAACAGTTTAGTCATGAAACTGGATTTGGTGTTGCTCGTCAGTGTCCTTCCTTTGATCTGATCCTTTCAGAGTGCATAATGAAAGAGGATTCCTGTAAAGAAACACTGAGATTGTCCAAGACACATCTTCTTTACGTAGGAGGGCAAAGATTTGTGAAATAGGCCCCCAGTATTGCCTTCTCCATTGCTACCCTAGTCTCTGTGTGTCCAGTCACTTTTCATGAATATCTAACATATCCAATGAAGTCTCGGCCTTAGCCTTTGGCATCTCAATTCAAGCAAACAGTCATGAATACTTGGTATTAGAAAGTTATTCTGGGATCTTCGCTGGCTCAGAGTTGATGAGAATGAGGTATGGAAAATCACATTCAAAACCACTGTACCAATATGTACCATATGTACCAGTATGAGTATCTGCTAGTTATATGAACTCTAGGGCAGATGAGACCACCATTCAAGGAGTTCATTGCACCAGTGAGAAACAAAGATACATGTCTTTAATTTTTCTATTTATATTTATTTATTTTATATGTTAGTGTTTTGCCTGTTTGTATGTATGTTCATTGTGTGCTTTCCTGGTGCCCGAGGAAGTCAATAAATGGCATCATTCGTCTGAACCTGGAATTAAGGGTGGTTGTGAACCATTATGTGGCTGTTTGGAAATGGACTGGGTCCTCTGCAAGGGCAACAATTGCCTTTAAGTTATGCCATTTTTTAGCCATGAAGATAGACATCTTAATGGAAACAATTTAGTGAATGTACAATAATTAGCAAGAACTCTATCCCAAGATGTAGTGATGTTTGAGAATTGAATGCAGCAGGTTTAAAGTTAGGAGAATTGGACATGAGAAGGAATAATCTGCATATAGAAGACAATAACTCATGAGAAAGGTGGCCTGGACAGCTGCCTAGTGTACTTGAATCATTTGTCATGTAATGAAAAGATTTTGATTGGCTATCATGCATCAGAAACTGCATTTTGTTATTGGAGGCTGAGGAAAGAGAGAAGCAATTATTTTTATTCCAATGTCTCTACAATATGAAAGGGGAGTCAGAACTTTCAAAGTCAACTCTAGTCGGGGGGGGGAGGGAGGGAGAGATTTGCTTAACTGAGATAGGAATTATACCATAAAAGAATTAAAGTGGGCATCAAAGATATTAGCAGACATTAAAGATCTACAGCACCAGAAAGATCATCCTAGGTGGAGAGAGGCTCCTGCAAGAGAGTGGATACAAGATGAGACAGTATCAATCACTTTAGCCAATTCTTGTTTACTCTGGGGATTCCATACTGTCTAAAGGGATGAAAGAAGCAAGTTGATGTGCAAAAGATGCCCTGTTTGCATGCAGAAGTTATATTCAGAAAAAAGGAAAGCCAGATGTGAATACATCATACACTGCTGTGGGGACAAGCCACAGACCCAAGTAGCCTTCTAGAAGTATTATTTGATAAGACCTGGGTAATTTAGTGCAGCTGCTACATTCCAGGGCACAAATTATGTGTATAAAAAGCAGAGGAAGACAGACATTTATATTTCAGTAATACACATAAATATTTCTGGGGAAGAGAAGCAGGCAAAGTAATTTCTTCTCAAGAAGAAGAAAGAAGCCAAAATAAAAGATTATAGCTCAGCTATAGAAATTGATTTTTTTTAAATGATAAAAGAAAACCAAGTGTTCTGTAAAATACAATCTGCAGGAAGGTCACTTGATATATCTATCTTAAAGTTGTTGGTGACTTTATAAGAAGGCACTTGGTACATTGTTAGAGTGCAAGGGGCAATGCTGGAAGTAGATAAAGAGGAAGCAGATATAATGGGCATAGAAAATTCATCTGAAAACTTTGGCATAGCGTTTTGCCTGGCAGTAGAGGGCCAAAGACAGAGCCCAGTTAATTGTTAAATGAGGAAGTGTGCTGTCATTCACTCTGATACAGAAACCAAGGGCCTCAGCCTGGGTAGACTAATCTTGTTTCCTGATTGGACCTGGTGTTTCTTCATGTCTTCTCTGCTCCATTCTCTGAGTTATTTGTCATCCTTCCTCTTTTTATACAAAGTTCATCAGTCTTCACTCACTCACTCACATACTCACAGACTATGCTCTGTACATGGTATTTAACATATTTAATTGATTCAAAAGTTTATATTTCATTTGTTGTGTTTGGAAGTATATAAACATAAGCTAGTCCAAAGAAAAAGAAGAATAAAAAGAATTAATGACACCAAATACCCTGGGAAGAAGAGACATTTAACAAATCTCATATAGCTGTCACTGAATTTTTTTCATATTGCCCTGTGGGTTTTCAGTGAGGCTTGAGGATCTAGAAGCACGGTGTCAATAGCTGGGATGTGAAGGAAATGGGGAAATACTGATCAAAGACATAAGTTTTGGTTCTCTGATGGCTATGTTCCAGGACTGAGCTCCCGAGCCAGCTGAGAATCATGGATAATACTGTGTTTGTTGTTTAATTGTAATTTTCTACAGGAACCCGTTCTCAGTGACCTAAGCAATATACAAGTAGAGTTACAGAGGAGATCAGTGAGTGAATAAGTATTTTGACTACGGCAATCCTATGATGTGTATCAAGTCATCACCTAGTACAGCTTTAGTAATATAGATAATTTTCTGCTTGTAAGTCAAATGTGTTTTAAAGGTAACTGCTTCAACATTGTGATTGTTCCCACCTAAAATACTTTTGTTCCCAAGTTTATTTTTAAAAGTCACAAAATCTTCTTATTTTTGTAAAGCAAAACAGTTGGAAAACTTAAAAGGAAAAACGAACTCAGATATGTTAAAGAAAATAGAGTTATCAACATCAGAAACAATGGAAATGCTAACGATGACATCACTACATTTAATCCGGGATTGATGTTTTCCTGCGTATGTACTTGTTCCACAGTATAAACTGAATGCTGGGAAATCCAGGCCTTACTGAAGGGTTGTTAATGAGGACCTTCTGGCTTGAAAAGGATACTGAACTCGGTATGGTAGAGGAACTGCTTCCTTCTCTCCCAGTCAGCCAGACATGGACCTGCAACAGTCTCAAAAGAAGACAGAAAATGGAAGTGACATGGCTGGGCAGGAACTGGCCCTGTGGGTTTGGAATGAGGCATGAAGGTCTGAAGCTCTGGAGCACAGATGTCAGGCATCGCTGGCCAGCTCTGGAAATATTCATAAATTTCTGGCGGCTTTTCTGGGGCTTGCCTAGCTGGCTTTGGAGCAACTGTGCTCTGGGTTCTCCCTGGTCCCCCAAACAGTAAGCAGAGCCAGCTGGCTTCTTTATTCAGCCAAGTTGGTAGATGAGGCAATTCTACATCGGGGGAGACCAAGAGTCATGGAGGCACACCGCGAGCCAAGCTGGGAGTAAAGAAGATGCTCATAAATTAGCCTTAGGAGTCTCATCACCAGTGAAGAGCTGAGTACAGAAAAGGATGCCTGTCTTTCCCACAAATAGCAGAGGTAGGCTTGGACTTGTATGTTACTACATTTGGTGAATGAGGACTCTGTAAAGAATGAATGCCTCGAAATCAGATGAGATGGACATGATGCCTGTTCTCCCTCTGATGAGACTCCAACAATGGTCCCCATAGCCCTTCATCTATCTGGATGAAGATTACACCCTGGATTGTAAAAGCTAAAGTTTCTCAACATGATTTCATCTATTCCTTTTCCTACATTACAAAACTTAAAACACTGACATTATTCCTAACTGAAAATCTGATTCGCAGATTGAGAAGACTATCCAGAGCCTCCCCATCAAAGTCTCTGAGAAAGGTTAAGGCAACCCAAAGTATTTATTGCGTGTTCCAGTCCACACCTGACACCTGCCCTGGATAACCATGTCTTAGAGCAGCTATGCAAAGATAATACTCAACAGCTGTGAATGCATGTATCTCCCATAACTTAGCGATGTCTCTTTCAAGAATTAAATTTATTTGTTTAATGTATAATCTCAGGGAGGGAGAGAGGCTTCATTTTCTAAGACCTCATGGGGAGAGAACCTCAACTTGGATATAGCAGACATGTTGGCTCCTCAAGGCAACACATATTACTGATTAACACCATTTTTTTTATTATTGCAGTTACTATCCTCCAAGCAAGTTGTCAATATTCCACACACCATGATATTTATAATAATATTTAATTTCTGGTCAGTGAGAATAGGCTGGGATATATTGCTTCAGTATTAAGAAGTTGAATATGACATAAGTTATGGAAAAGTCACTTCACAGATTAGGTAGGCCATACAAAAGTATGACTTACATTTTGGATGAGTTGTCTCTCCCCTTGGATGACTCATACTGTGGGAAGTCATCTTTGTCAATTTTTTGAGAAGCTCGAGAAAGATCACCACAGAACACATTGTTTAAGCTGTGTCAACAGCCATGCAACTGAGCTTTGAGAATACTGTAACCATCTCAAGTCAGTGTCTGACACCTTGATTGTGGACTTGCTCAGCCAAGTTGCTTCTATATTCTTGACCCATAGAAAATACAAGATTAAAGTTTTTTTTTTGCTGGATTAAGCCATTAAGCTTTGGAGTTATTTGTTTGCCTCAATATTTTTCTTCTGTTTGGATTACCATG